TATGAGTAAATAGATCTAATTTAAAGTAGAACCCTCGACAACTGTTGGGTTGCAATTTCCTAGAAGTTTTGCCAGAATCCGATGGTACAGCATTATTACAAGTGGACAGGAGGCCTCTCATGGGTTCACATCCTGCCCTGAGCAAATAGCCCCAGAGTGATGGATATTGCCAATTACCCTCTCTGACCTTACTGTCATTAAGAAACCATTTATGCAGTGGTTACAAAATCAGATCTGTAAGCTAGTCGTGGAAAATGAATGTCATACATTCCAAATGTCTTTAAACTTACTGTCCCATTCTGAAAGATGGTATTGTAGGGCAAAAGAGGAAGTGGAAGTGAAAGCTTGCTCAGCAAGCATGCAAAGTGATACGGAGTAACATCTGGGCCGATGATGATGATGTGAGATATTCTTAGATAATGCTTTGCAATCCACCTCGCCCTTTCTGTCTCTGTTTTTTTTCCTCTTTTTCTTAATCTCTGCCTTCTCTTTTCCTCCTGGATAGTCACTTTTTCTTTTTCTTTTTTATGACTATCTCTTATTACAAATCCCCCTCCTTGCTGCTTTGTCATGACAGATAAGGCAAAAGAGGATTTGTTTTTTTTCTTTCCAGCGGATAGTGTGTCTTCTGATAAACTGTCATTTTTAGCCACTAAGTCGTTTTAATCTCAGAGGGAAGTGTGCTCAGCAGTATGTGTTTGTACATTTGTATGTGTGTGCCTGTGTGTGTGTGTGTCTATTGCCCAAAACATGTGCACTCCCACATGCTCATATGACTGTCATCAGTGTTGTTGCAGAGATAATATCAAAAGCCCTATTGATAAGCAGTAGATCACCCTTCGTTTTGCTCTGTTGATAACCTCATCTACAGGGTGCACACATGGCAATATGGTTTAAGGGGAGGAAGTAGGATGAATATTAGTCCTTGTCCCCTTTGTAAATCAAACTTTATTTTGCGAGAAGAGATTGGACAGGCTGATCTTGGACAAACATACTTAGTATAAACAAGTCCTTGAGAGCCTTGAGTAGATATTGGGACCATGCCATAAGGGAAGACACCTATTAGGCCTAATGGTTCCTGCATTAACATAGAAAGGCTGCTCCTGTAATGCAAGTCCATAGGTTTCCGGATATATAGAATTTGCTTATTGACCAACAAGAACACACCAGGATGCAGGAGACAGGCCACTACTGAAATGGGTTTTCTGTAAGCATAAAGACAGTGTTGTCAGCAGGTCATGTTACACTGTTTTTGCAAAAAGGCTGAAGAACAAGTCAATAATTGGGATCACTATCATGTTCTTTACTCATTCTAGCTTAGGTTTTTAATCTTCTGTCCAAAAAGGTTGAGCTTTTGTCCAGAACTCTAAGATTATTCATCCTAGGAACTAGGGCTGTTCGATATAACGATATATATCGGATGACGATATAAAAACTTCTATCGTTTCATTTTGTGCTATCATTTGTTTCGTGGTGTCGCAAAATAAACTGTTTATGGCAGTATCTTTTCATTGTTTTGATGGTCACTGTAGTGGCTATATTAATTTCTTAAAGTTCTCTCTTTCTCTTATATTTTATATAACCACACTATGAGGACAAATTTGTTTGTCTGTTTTTATGCGTTTTGGTTAGCAACAACAATGGTAACACCATCGCGTGTCCGCTTGTTTATGTTCCACATAAACTTTTCACAATAAAGCTCAAGATCCTGTTGAGACTTTTCAAAATAAACTGAATCACGTGTAAGAGCGGATTATTTACGGATGAGAAGTTAAAAAAAAGACGCCATGTGCTAAAAAATAAACCTTGGACTCAAACGTTAG